TGAAAGTGCCATGGGCTGCCAAAAGAACCAACAGATCTGTGTTGGAAGAAGTGCAGCCAGAGTGCTCCTTGGAGGCCAGGATGGCTAAGCTTCGTCTCATACTTCGGACATGGAGGGACCAGTCGCTGGAGAAGGATATCATGTTTGGTAAGGTGGAGGGTCAGAGAAAAAGAGAAAGACCCCCAGCGAGATGGATTGGCACAGTTGCAGCAGCAGCAATGGGCTCAAGCATGGCAACGATTAAGATGTTGGCCCAGAAGCAGGCATTGTTTTGTTGTGTTCGTAGGATCGTTGTGAGTCAGTACCAACTTGACGGTACCTAACAACATCAGCAACATTGAATTAGACTTTGTTGCAGGAGCTTTAAAAGCCAAGTATGGGCAGCTACTGCCCACTCACCCTGCTGCGTATTCTTTCTTCTTTTATTCAGTCAGCCAAGTTTACACTGTTTATTTGTACACAGACGAGGGCTGGAAAACCCAGCCTTGGCAGCCTTGCCTAGCCCAGGTGTACCAGGCCCCTGCTGGGTCTCTGTGAGGGGAGCCGACTTGACAGCATCTAGGTGGTTTATGTTGTACAGCTATAGACACAGCCTGGTTTTCAAATAGCCGTTTCTATTTTATTTTTTTCCTTAGGTTGAAGTAAAGGAAGCAGGTGGTCCGATTACAAGTAACAACCGTGTGGAGGACGCAAGCTTTCCGAGTGCTTATACCCAGGAATCCTGCTGCAAGTTTACATCAGCACAAGACCCAGAGGACCCTGCCGACTGTCCCCAGAAGGACCCCAATGCCATGGTAATTCTGCCAGAGAAAGGCTGCGTGGGTGGCCCTGGGTACTCGTGGAACCAGCATTTTTGGTTGGCTCATCTTCAAGAGACAGTCAGTCACTGGGTAAGAACGTTTCTGGTGTGCCTTTGACCTTGAAGTGTCTCATTTCTTCTGAATCCTCGCCAGTCATGCAAAAACCAGCGCATGGCCGTGTCCCTTAGCTGGAGTAGCCACACTCAGTTGAAGCAGAGTGGGAAATAAGGCACCGGGAAGGGGAGTGGGGCTGAGCCGTGTGCTTTGGGACATTGGTAGAAAAGATGAGGCTGGGGTCCTTTCGTTTTAGAGCCAAGGATGCTTCCCTTCCTTTGTCCCTTCCACAAACTAGCCCTAGTGGGACCAGCCACCTTGGTGGCCCATGTACAATTTTTACACGTTCTTTCTCTTCAGTCTCGGGCCGTCTTTTATCTCTGTTTCACAGATAAGAAATCCGAGATGTTATCTACTTAGCTTAAGTCTTCATAGCTTGTAAAGGGTGAACCTTGGACTCCGGGTCTTCCTGGGGGCAGGAAGGTGAGAGCCATGGACTCTGAGGATTTCTTAGTCAACTGCTCAGAGGCCCAGGAACAAACCAATGTGTTTCCCCACAGTAGTTCTGTATTTTAAGGGAGGGGGCCCTGACTTGCGGGCTTACCCTTGAACCAGGAAGGACTTGGAAAGGAAGCTTGGACTGAGCTTGGCCCTCTCCACCGGTCCTTCTGTGTATGGTACAGCTTCCCAGGCCAGCTGGACAGGTCATTAGGAGCAGACCCTTCCCCAGGAGAGGCACAATGGACACTCCCAGGACAGTGGGATAGATGGAGACCTGGAGAGGCCATACTGAGCCTTCCCTCCACATGTGTGTGCCCTGTATGTGCCCTGCATGTGTGTGTGACCTCCATCCTCCAGAGACAAGGCCAGGTGGTAGCCTGTGAGTGAATGTGAGGGCTCTCGGAAGCGCCGGTCCAGGTCAGCACCTCGGCCTGTGTTCTGTTGTGTGGCCTCCATGGATGAGGATATGGGTTCTTTACACTTACCTGGTTTCCTGTCTAGACTAGAAGTCACCTGGAGACAGAACCCACAGTTTCTCTGTGCATCTGTGGTTAGACTCTCACCTGGGCTACCTGAGTCGGCTGTTTGGGCTCAGGAAGGTGGCTATGACTTCTAAGAGTTTTAAGTTCTTAGATGAAACTTTCTACACTGTACTCAGAGGATATAGAATAGGCATGAAAACAAACCCAGGTGGTAAGTCATAACATGTATGTGGGGCAGGAAAACCCAATGGAACTAAAATGAGAAATGATTCTCGAAGTACCAGGGATCTTCAAAAAGTTCACGGAAAAAGGGAATTCAATGAGAACAATGACAAATATAGACTTAATTTCTCAACATAAGCTCTATCAAGCTCAAGACAGGTTTGGAAAGCATTGATATCAGCCATTTTTTCTGTCTCTGAAGAACTGAGAGTCCTGGGACTCGAACCGTGACAATGCAATCTTCTTCTGTTACTCACAGAAGAACAGTGGATGTCCTTAAAGGATTTTTGCAGATTAGGAAACAGGAAGTCAGAAGGAGCTGACTGGAGACTGTAAGGTGGATGCTTACTGACTTCCCATCAAAAGTCTCACAATACTGTCCTTGTGTGATGAGAGGAATGAGCAGGAACACGGTTGTGGTGGAGAAAGTCTCTAGGATGAAGCTCTCCTGAGCATTTTTCTATTAAAGTTTTGGCTACCTTTCTCAAAACACTCTCATTATAAACAGATGGCATGGTTCTTTGGCCCTCCAGAAAGCCAACAAGTAAAATGCCTTCAGTACCACCCCTCCCCCCCAAACTGTTGGCCATGACCTTTGTTCTTGACCAGCTCTTGGCAGCCATTGCTGTGATCATGGCAAAACCATATTTTGTCTCCTGTTAACAGTTCTCCCAAGAAATGCATCAGGGTGTCGATGTCTTTTATTTAAACTTTCCATAGGGAGCTCTGCTCCTGTCTGCAGTGGGTCTGGACACAACCGTTTTGGCACTCATCAAGTAGAAAATTGTCTCAACTTTAATTTTTCAGTCAGAATTGTGTGAACCAACCAATTGCAATGCCTGTGCTGTTTCTGCTGTGAATCAGTCCTCGGCAACTTGAGCCAGAACACGTCTGCCACTGTGCATTGTAGTCATCTTCAGCATCGTCTTGCCCCTTCCTAAGACAAGCAATCTCTTGTAAACTGCTGGTTCCTTTGGGCCGCCGTCCCCATAAACCTGGTGTTTATGATTTCGTCATTCTTCCACCCAAGCTTCACCATCAATTTGAGGCTTGTTGCTTCATTTTAGCAGAGTTCATGTTGTTCGGAAGGGGCTTTTATCAAACTGATGTCTTAGCCTTCTTAGTGCCTCTAACTAGGCCTTGTTCTGATTTGTTTTAACAAGTTATTCTTGTTATAGTTACTGTTTTGAGGTGCCATCGAGTCATTTCTGACTCATAATGACCTTAGGCACGATAGAAGGAAATGCTGTCCAGTCCTGCATCGTCCTCTCAAGTGTTTACCCTGGAACCCAGCATGGCTGCCACTGCGCCAGCCCATCCCATTGGTAGCCTGCCTCTTTTATTCTGACCCTCCACTTTACCAGGCATAATGTCTTTCAGGGACTGGTCCCTCCTGATAACGTATCCAAAGTATGAGACAAGAAGTGTGGCCATCCTGACTTCCAAGGAGTATTCTGCCTCTGCTTCACCCGACACAGATTGCTTTGGTCCTCTGGCAGGCCATGGGACTTGCCTATTCTCTGCCAACACCACAACTCAAATGTATCTATTTTTATATGGTCTTCCTTGTTCACTGTTCAACTTTCACATGCATATGGGGCTACTGAAAATATTATGGCTTGGGTCAGGCACACCTTAGTCCTCGAACTGACATCTTGGCTCCTGTACACTTTAAAGAGGTCTTAGGCAGCAGATTTGCTCAAGGCAATAATACGTCATTTGAGTTCTTGAGTGTTGATTGTGGATCTAAGCAAAATGAAGTCTTTGACAACTTTAGTCTTGTCTCCATTTATCATGATGTGATTTACTGGTCCAATTGTGAGGGGTTTTGTTTTCTTTACATTGAGGTGGAATTCATACTGAAGGCTGTGCTCTTTGATCTTCATCAGTAAGTATTTTAAGTTCTCTTCAAGTCCACAAGGTTGTATCATTTGCATATCACAGGTTATTAATGAGTCTTCCACCAATGACACATTCTCCTTCATATAGTCTCGGATGATTTGCTCAGCATTCAGACTGTCTAAGTGTGGTGAAAGGATACAGCCCTGGCGCACACCCTTCCTGACTTGAAAGCTTATTCTGTTACAACAGCTGTCTCTTGATCTATGTGCTTTCTGTACGACCACAAACAAGTGTTCTGGAATACCTATTCTTTGCAATGCTAGCCATAGCTCGTCATGAGCCTCACAGCTGAAACCTTTGCAAAGTCAATAAAGCACAAGAAAATATCTTTCTGGTATTCTCTGCTTTCAGCCCAGATCCATGTGAGATCAGCAAGGATATCCCTCGTTCCACATCCTCATCCAAATCAGGCTTGAATTCTTGGCAGCTCCCTGTTGCTTTGCTGTTGCAGCTGTTTTAAAATTCTCCTCAGCAAAATTTCCTTGCATGAGACACTAATGATATTGTCTGATAATTTCCACATTCCGTTGGGTCACCTCTCTTTGGGATGGGTACTAATATGGATTAATATGGATCTCTTCCCATCAGTTGACTAGGTAGCTGCCTTCCAAATTTCTTGGCAGAGATGAGTGTGTGCCCCCAGTGCCGCATCAGGTTGCTAAAGGTTTCAATTTGTGTTGTGTCTATTCCTGGGGCCTTGTTTTGCACCAGTGCCTTCAGAGCAGCTTGGACTGCTTGCTCCTTCACCATGAGCTAATTTTGGTGCAAAACATTTTTTAAATCCATGGACAGTTTTTCATATTGTACCTTTTCCACATACGGACTTTTTGAAAACCCCCCCGTATGTACCTGTCCACAGGGGCACGTTCTCTCCGAGTTGAAGCTGATTCCCCCAGGGCAGCTCTGGTAGCGTAGTGGTTACAAATCGGGCTGCGAACCTTAAGGTCAGCGGTTCAAAACTACCAGCCGCTCCGCGGGAGAAAGATGAGGCTTTCTACTCCCGTAAAGATTTACACCCTCGGAAACCCTGTACAGGGTCGCTATGGGTCGGAACCGACTTGACGGCACTTAACAACAACAACAACAACCGTCAGCGTAGACTCCCCCAGGACACACGAAGGCAGCTCAGTGCACCCTCACCTGACCCTGACTCAGGTTACCACATCAGACACCTGCAGAGGGGCCTCTAGCTGGTGTGTCTGTCTGCTTGTTAGACGTGAACCCCGATGTTGCACAGAAAGACACTTTGAGACTAAATTACCTCGGCAGGGCCAAATTTGCTCCTGCAGAAGGGTGCATGCACGTAGCTGTACAGGACCAGGCCAGCGAGCACACCGAGTGGGCAGTCCACTCGGGTTTTATCCCTGACGCGAGTCTTAAGGCTATTGTCTCACCCCATTGGCTGGGGCTTTGACTGCACAGTCTCTTCCCTTACCTGATTGGCTAATTCAAATTGCTGAGGCAGGCGTTCTTCTTACTCACTTCAGGAGGTAGTAAAAGAAAGGTCACCCAGTCCCTACTCACCTCAGGAAGTAGCAAAAAGTAAAAGAAAAGTCAGCCAAATGCAATAAACAGCCTTACCATAATTTTGAAGGAAAGCCCCTCGTTCCCACACGTTGGCGTCCTGACTGTGCCTCACGAGCAGTTTCTGCCAGGTATCCCTGCTGCCTGCTTCCTCCCGAGAGACATAGGAGAGCAGATCTGTTGTTTTCCATCCTCTCTTGAGACTGAAATTCTAGAGAAGAGTTCTTTTCCTCTTGGTTGTACATGATGCAGGTTCGTACTGTTGGAGTAGCCTTTGGAAATGAAGGCAGGTGATTGTTCTTCCTTGTAGGTGATCTGTCAACTGAAAGGAGGCACCCAGATGCTGTGTCTAGACCATTCTGGCACCAGAGAACTGAAAGCTCTTCATTTGGTTCCTCAGTATCAAGACCAAAACCATTATCTACAGTCAGGTACAAAGCAGATTGATTATTTAAAATAAATTATGGAATGGGATCATATGTAAATTGGTAAGTGAATGTGTTTGGCTTTTCATAGAGAGTAAAAGTGTGGCACAGTTGGATAAGCATTGGACTACTAACCACAAGGTTGGTGGTTCAAACCCAACAACCATTCCTTGGAAACCCTATACAGGGTCACTGTGAGTCAGAACCAGTTTGATGACACTTAACAACTAGTGAACGAGGCAGCTGGGTTCTTAAACAGGTCATTGGTAACCTCACAGCCCACGTAACGGAGAACATTTGTCTGTAGACAAATTCACACTTTGTATTGACAGTCACTAATGCTCAGATGGTGTCCTCCATGTGAGCTCCGTGTACCCACTCTTCACTCACAGTGGGCGTGAACCTCGAAAGGTTGAGGCCCAGCCTTTCCCAGACTGGGCTGATAGTTCAGGTGTGGGGGAAATGGATATAGGCACATGTGACCGGCATCTGTGAGAACCCTCCCATGGTCATGAGGTTCAAACTAACTATCAAATGGTGACCTGTCTGACCTTCATTCTTGAAAGCTGGGCACCCCTGTATGGTACACAACCACATGACGCTGGACGTCCACTTCCCAAATTATAGGTGTGACCTGAATCCCCGGGGGAGGCGGGGGGGCACTTGCAAGGATGCTCAGGCCTCAGAAGGAGGTGTGGCGAGTAAGTCACCTCTCCCTCTCCTTGGGCTCCCCAAGGACAAGGACACGTCTTTTGGTGGCCATGAGCGCCTGGTGTGGCCTGTTTGACACAAGCAGGCCCAGGACTGGGAAGTAGTTCAGTTCACAGGGTGTCCAACAGGTGACGCCCCGTTTCCGTGCTGTGACTTTTTTTTTAACCCTCTGGAAGCTTGAATCCAGTAGGCTTGTGGCCCAACAAGTGATTACGGAGGAAAAACAACAACAGCAAAAAAGGTAATAAGAGGGAACTTCCAAAGTTCACGGGAAAACGTCATGATCTGTACATTCTGTTTTCTTTTAGAAGCCCCCTCGTGCGTGGATGAAAAGCACAAACAGCACCGGGTGGGCACAGTCCCTTGCCCATGATAGGCCGTAGCCTGTTTTCATTTTTGCACTTTCTTCCCCGTGGGAGTGGAAGAGTCCTGCCTGTTCATTTTGATTGTCTTCCTCCTTACAGATGTCCCTAAACCAATGACTACTCTAGTAGGAAGATTTCTGCCAGTACCAGCAAAATTCAATCTCCTCACTCAACAAGTAAGTCAGTTTTCATCAGAAAAAATACCATGGGGACATTATTGTCATTGTCTCTGGAAATTTTGACGGTTACTCAGAAAAGATCATTCAACTTCCATTTTGAAACCAACGGTGGAGGCTGGACCAAGTCCTCACTGTGATCCCCAGCGTGGGAGGGATGGAGGGTGGGCTCTTGCCTGCAGCCCTTGTCTTCAAGGTCCTGCCACTAGCACACTTGGCTCCTCCCCTCCCTCAGGGTCATAGAATGCTTTCTACACATATGCTTTTGTGTTGACGCTACATACATAAAGGAACTTCAAAAGTTCTTGGAAATGGTGAATTACAAGACAATGTTGTGAACTCCCTTCCCTAATTATAAAGCATGTGTTATCCTGTTCCTGAGCCTGCCCTCGGGGTTGGGGGGGCCCTAGGGAAGAAAAGCCTTCCACCACTGCCCACCTGCTTCTCAGTCCACTGTCACCCTCTCAGGGGCTCTGGTTGGCCTGTCCACAGCCTCCCATGGGGTGGAGGCTACCATATCTTGTACACTTGGGCACTTGGGTTGTATCACTGAGTAAAGTGAACCCCAAACAAAACAGAGCCCCCAGCTCTGCCGCCCTGCACCCCCATGACAAGCAGAGCTCACAAATGCATACATTCCGTGCTGGGGCGGGGGGAGAGGAGGGGGCTGCGGAGATGGGTGTGGTGGGTCCGAGGGCAGGCAGGTGACATCTGAGTCAGGACTTGAAAGTGATAAGGGAGTGAGCCATGGGGGAGGACTCTCATGTGCAAAAACAGTGTCCGCTGAAGGGACAGCAAGACCCTGGGAGAGGGCAGTGAGGTGGTCAGCAGGCTGGGGATGGAGTGCGTGATGGAGAGGAAGCTAGAGGAAGCTGCAGGTGGTGGGGAGATCCTGAGTTTGCACTCAGCTTGAAAAAGAGGCCCTAGGGCTGTGGACAGATGTGTCCTCCTCTGAGGGACAGGATCACGTTGGCTCCTGTGAGGGTGAATCGAAGGGAGAGGCTGTGGACAGGCTGAGGGGAAGCAGGCCGGGAGCTCAGGCCAGGGTGGGTGGCATGCCTGTCCTGAAGGGTGACAGGTGACAAGCATGAGTTGCGGGTGGTTGGGATTTGGATAGTGAGACGGAGGAGTTGACCTTTGAACCTGAAGGAGCTGCCTGCTCACCCAGAACTCTCTGATTTCTGATTCCGCAGCTGGACAAGGGACCCTTGCCGCCGGCGGTTAATGCACCGACTCTGCCAGGACCTCCGCAGTTAACTTTGGCTGGGTAAGGGTTAAAAACTACATACACTGTCACTTTAATGCAAGGTGCCGTTGAGAGTTTGGGGGAGCCTGGGTGATTTGAGTTCTGGCATTAGTGTGACCGGCAGTGGCGCCGTGGTGTGCTCCCCCCACCCGCTACGAAGGAAGGGCTTGGCTGTGGGCCCACGTCAGTGTCTGCCAAGCCTTGCCATTTTCAGCTCTCTCTGGGTACCGAGCCGGTCTCCTTGGTTTTGGGGTCACCCATGTGGGTCAGCACATGGCCATCATTCGGCCACCCCACCACTGCCTTTCATACTCAGTGGGCCCACCGCCCGGCCTCTGGTCATCTGGTAAGTGTGAGGAGCATGGACGGGCCACTGGCCAGGGAGCTGGAGACTCTTGGGAGAATTGTACTGGGGAGTTTGCTGCCAGACTTTGCCGATTCCGTGTTAGTGTTCCTCTTCCAGCTGGTTCTAAGCTGTACCAAGTCAGCCGATGGCGTTCCATCACTCGGATAGGACACAATGGGATGGGTCCTTCTCCTGGCTCCACGCTCTCCTGGTGGTGGGGCAATGAGGAGAAGGGTGAGAGGAACAGCCCGTGGTCATGTCATGGACAGTGTCAGAATTCCTAGACCAAACAGAAACACCGTCAGCCGTTCCCAGAGCCTGCTGATGGCATTCCACTTTTAGTCACTCAGAGTGGTCCTGAAGTCGCTCTTGTGACTGGGAGCATCCTGGAGACAGTACCACCCCTCCGCGTGCCTCCCTGTGTCCACAGCATCCCATTCAAGTGGCCGCTAGAATCTGGTACTCGCTGCACTTTATCTCAAGTGTGTGCTTACAGTCACTGCGCCTTTCATGGCCTCCCCACTCTTCTCCGTTTCTCTTTAAGCCAGTCTAGACTGGATTTTCTCCATTTGTCCCATCGTTGTCGGCTGCTGTCCAGCCGAGCTTATGCATAGCAGCAGGAAACAGCGCGCGGCCCTGCACCAGCCTCACAGTTGTCACGCGGGAGCCATCAGTGCTGCTGCCGCTGCGCCAGTCCTTCTCGTTGGGGTCGTCGTCTTTTGTCAGTGACCCTCCACTTTATCAAGCATGATGGCCTTCTCCAGGGACTGGTGCCTGCTGACAATACATCCAAAGCATGTGAGACCAAGTCTTGTCATTCTGGCTTCTAGGAAGCATTCTGGCTGTGCTTCTTACAGTACAGATGTGTTTGTTCTTCTGGTAGTTGATGGGACTTTTCATATTCTTCTCCAACACTGTAATGCGTCGATTTGTATCCCATCTTCCTTATTCATTGTCCAACTTTCACATGATTATGAGGCGATTGAAAATATTATGACTTGGGTCAGACACACCTTAGTCCTCAGGCTGATCACTTTGCTCTTGAACGCATGTGCAGCAGATTTGCTTAATTGTCTCCACCACTCGTCTGTCAGTTTGTCGTACTGTGGAGACTTGCGTGTCGCTGTTATGCTGGGAAATACTCCTCAGGGTCACCCACTGAGTGTCGAGCCACTGAGACCCTTTTAATACGATTAGTTGCCACCTTTCCTTCTTTTGAAGTAACACCGCAGGTTGTGAAGGGTGGTCCCATGCAAGCTCACGTGCCAGGAGGGGCATGGTCTTTGTTTCTGTCTTTGCCTCAAGAGATGACTTGACACGCACGCTGTGAATCCCCCTCTTGACTTCTGCCTCGACCTCCACAGTCCTGACGGCATCCTGGGGTCGCTCCGGATCGACTCTCTGTAGGTAGAGGCAAAAAGCACGACTGCCTTACCCTCGGTACCGGTTCCCACCTGGCTGGGTTTGCCACCTTCTTCACCTCGTAGGTGCTTCCTTAGTCGTTTTAACCTCCACGAGGCAACAAGGTCAGACCAGGTCTAAAGAGACGAGAAACCATCAGCCTGAGATGATTCACACCCGGCACCAGGCCAGCTGGGGCCTCAGGGTTGGCAGCCCCCACCCAACTCATCATCGGTTCGAATTCCAGTGAGTGACCTGCCTAACCAATTAACTATCTCATCACATTAGTAAAAACCCTTTTAATCAAAACAGGCTGTCACTTGGTATAGGTATTTGACCTCTTGTTTTTATACTTTGTTATTTCTTGTGATTTGGTGAAATTTACAAAGCAAATTGGGTTTCCATTGATTCTGGACACTGACTGCAATCCCCCCAAAGTAACAGTCCCCTTCCCACTTCCTCCAGGGCTTTCCGGTTTTCCATTCCTCCTCCTTCCTGCCTTCTGAGCTTTCTTCCTGGGCGCATGCAGCCCTTTGATCTCATAGGATTGATGGCCCTAGGAAGTCCATCCCTCCATGGTGTTCGTGTTCAGCCTGTGAGACAGTCTATCGTTTGACAGGAAATGGAGCCCAAGTGGTGGCCTGGATGTCGCTGTAATGGAGATGCCAGTGGACACTGAATTCTGACAGCTCCTGGATCTAATGAATGTCATTAAATCCGAGAAGCTGGGTTCTATGAAGAAAAATGTGGCATCAGGATTGGAGGAAGACTCATTAACAACCTGTGACATGCAGATGATACAACCTTGCTTGCTGAAAGTGAAGAGGACTTAAAACATTTACTGATGAAGATCAAAGAGCACAGCCTTCGATATGGATTACATCTC